GCCTGGCACAATATGGTTCATGGGGTCACGAAGAGTCGGACACGACTTAACGACTGAACAATATTGAAAGTTAAGTGAAATTCCTTATAAATTCCAGGTTTGGACTGGAATTTCTGCATCTAAAAGAAATCCTTGGATTTGGAAGAATGCAGAAGTTAGTGAAAAACTAACATATGGATAACAATCCTAATATCCATGATCTGTATGTCCATCCTACTGAAATACAGTCATTACATTTTCCCCCAGCTAAATAATTGATAGGAGTGGAGAGAGGACAAAAACTTAGAATTTGGATGATGTTTAAAAGATCTGACTGATGAAGTAGGCTCTAGTCCAAGAAAGAGCATGTCACAATAACTTTTCTAGTTTTCGAAGTGCCATTTTTAAAAAATAAATCATATAAAAGTGATCTTACTTCATCATGCCCATAGTTTGGTAATATCTGATCTAGAAACTTTGCAAGTTAATTTATACTTTAAAAAAGAAAAAGAAAATAAATTAATCTGCAAATCATTATCTCAAATGTAATGGTGTCTTTGAGGGGGTAGGTAACAGAGAAACCTAACGTATCTCAGAAGCAAGTCCAATGGGGCACATTAAACATTTTTTCCCAAAGCCTGGTGTAGAAAGAGATTCTTGGGGATATGTTTAAGTCCTGGTACACTGCTAATAATGTAATAGTATAAGGTCTATAAATTTAGGACTCAGTTGAGAAAAAATATTTCATCTAATCTTTGAAGATTCTGTTGAGAAAAGCACAATTTACTGAATTCAGTCACGAAATGAGATAATTAACAATAACATAAACGATCTCCACATACAAAAGCCAATGGCTGTTTCTTCCATAAAAAGTTTGTTATGATTTTTAAGAACTTATTTTGCAATTTAAAGAATCAATACCTGTCCCAGTGAACTCCAATCTAAACTGGCACTTCCGATGTACACATGTTGTTTATCCACAATCCAGAATGATGACTGCAAATGACCATCATTATAAGCGGTTAAATTTATATATATCACCTCTGCACCTAAACAAAATAAAAATGTAACAATTAGAATTGTACAATTAAATCATCCCCTCTTAAATATATGAATCCTAAAGTCACATAGAGCCCAGTGTGATATAGTTCAAAGTAACTGAGCTTGAAGTTGCAGCCTCAGAGATGTTTTAAAAATAGACTGATAGAAGTTACAGAATTGCAGCTACAGACATTTGCAGATTAAAATGTGTCTAGAAAATGTTTCTAAATTCATTGTATTCATTTTGGGTATGAAGATCACCTTGAGTTAATAATTAAGCATTGACTGACACATGAAAAGAGTTTATGCTAGGATAAATAGAGCCCTTTGAGTTCTTCCAAATGAAGCTTTTCTCATACAATTGTCTTGCTACATTTTTTGGTATTTTACAAAAGGTAGCATCCTTCAGCTTGTAACCTTTTTATATTCCTGTGTTTTCTTCTTACCACAGAAAACCTGCCCAGGAAGGAAAAGATGGAATAACTGCCCAGTACCCTGATCTATAAAGCTAGGGGCCACTGATCCAAAAGTCCACTTGATCATATTACCGCTATACTACACTGTACAGCAGTGTTGTCCAAATTTGGCCACTTTAAAAAGAGGGGGCCTCAAATCCCCGAAATTCCCCCCCCAAGCACCCGGGACCGGGGGATCTGTAGAGTTTAAAAACACAACTCTA